CCAGGGCCAAGCGCAGCAGTGACAAAGAGCAGGATGAGGAGGTGACAGAACCAGCTGCCAAAAAGGGCCCTAAAAGGGGCAGAGATCCAGAGGGTGAGCTGCTGCACCTGAACAAAGAGGACCTGAAACTTCAAAGGGAGGCAGAGGAGAGACCGGCACAAAAAGCAGAGAAATGATGGACGGACTCTTTCATTTATGGACAAAATTGTCAATAAATAACTTTAATTTCCAAATTCTGATGGAAATATTTTGAGTTTTTGAGAAGGTCATTTGTTGTTGAGTCTTTAACATTCATTAAACAAATGCTCAAATCTTTCAGGCACATTTCCACCAAAGGTGGATAGAGTACTCAAAAATGGTAGTTAGGTGTAGCACTACTTAATCACATTCTTACCCAGGTTACTCAAGTCAAAGTAAAGATAGTATTTGGTTAAAAGCCTACTCAAGTACAGAGGTATGAAATGGATAGTTACAGTATGTAGAATCACTAAAGTTACAGTAGTCTCAGTAGTTGCAAAAAAAAAGGGGGAAAGGTGGAATATTTTTTTTTTTGGAAGCATACATGGCCTAAATAATATAGTCTATTAACCTAAAGCATTATGCATGGTATGGTTGTTAAATGTCAGGTACATCGGTCATTGACCTTGACCAAGGCACCTTACAGTAGAACTGCAGTCAGTTCCTGGACTGGCATGGGTATCACTGCACCTACATTGTTAGGGACAAATTTCCCTCTGGGATCAGCTTCATAATCATGATAGGCGTTACTTTGATTTTATTCATTTTGCTTAGCTACTCGTAAGTCTGCAGCCCACCAAATGTTGAAATGGCAATATTATTGCCATTACTATCAATATATAGTAGAAAGTTTACACATTCAGTAATAAAATGTTACAGTGGATGGTATGGGGGGGTGGTCATTTAAGAAGGGAGATCATTTTTAAGGTTTTTTTTTTAAGAGTAAGGATTCCCCCCCAAACTCGAGTACTGAGTATACTGTATTATCACTCAACCTCCAAACAAAAAGCTAGCCTCAGCAGATGGAAAAAAGAAATACATTCAAACAATACGCTTTGAGAACAACAACTAAGAAAGTGCATCTCTCAGTGGTGCATATTTATTTAGAACAAGCTTGTTTTCATTCAGTGAAGTGACAGTGGATGGAGTAGCCAGAAATTTTACTCAAGCATAAACAGTGCAAGCATAACTGCTCCTAACAGTACATTTTTTCTAAAGGTCACTTGAGAAAATGTAACCAGTTACCACCCATCTTTGATTTCCACAATAAATAAAAAATATTATATCATTACACAAATATTTTAATGCAAAAAAATGACTCAAAATATTCCCATGTTGAAACATGCAGGAATGATTTTAGTGACCTGCATCTCTTCATCTTCATCTTTTTTTCTAAAGAGAAAGAGTCTAACCCCCAGATTCCAGATCCTCAGTCACCGTCCCTCAGCAACAGGGTACTTTCCGAACGCTAATCAAAGGATGAAGGGCCAGTTAATTTGGTTTGAGGGGCCTTTTCTGTCTCGTGAACTCAACCCTCTGACTCATGCTCCTCTCCAGCTCCAAGGAACGCGGAGTGGCAGAGACTGTAGGCGCTTTGCCCTGGTGGTCTGGAATGGAGCGGGAGCATAAGCGATTTCGGTGTAACGGTTAACTGAACAGGAGGTCTTTGGTAGTGTGTTTTCTGCATGTCTCTGCAAACAGAGACATGGAGGGGTTGATACAACAGACTGCATTAATTATTTTCTGGATAGCAAATGAAACATCACTCAGAGTGGCCTGTGAAGGTTTCAGATGGTATCAAGCAGTGTCTACACCATAATTCAATTGAGTTTAAGAGCCTGGCACAATCATCACTAATATTCAAGAAATTAGGATAAATGAAAAAATCATAAAGTGATGCAAAAGCATATGATGCTGTGCATTGAATGTTATGCTATGCTAAAAATATTTTGACACATCAGTTACTAGACATGACACTATTATTTATATATTTTTACCTGCAAACAGTAGGTGTGATCTGGTGATACCTCATCCAGGGAAGACACCTCGGCTGCAATTTGGTCCCGCCAAAAAGCACCGCTGACTGCTCCCAGCTCTGCCTCCCCCTAATCCCCATCTACAGCCTCTTCTGCCTCACCCTCTGGTGCCATCACATCACCAGCACCCAGGGAGATATTGTGAAGGATGGATGGTTCATGCTGTTATAACCTGGGAGGGTTAAATAACATAATATTTAACTTGCCATGTGATTATTTCTTTTGCCTTTACGCTGCAAAACAATGTATTTACTTTACTTGGAAATGATTATTTCTCAATATCATACATAATATCTCTGATGAGGTTACTGCTGGAGCTCCCCAAAAGTGAGATTAGGACACAAATCTGTGGCGAGAGTAGCTCTGCACCCATTCTTTGCTCGCCCTACGTGGGATGTGTCATGTCTCCCAAGTGACACATCAGTGAGTTTCCTACCCTTGTCTAGATCAATTCAGAGTTGAGGATTTGAATCTGAGTCAACCTGGCGCTCCATTCTCCCCTCACTCGACAACAGCAGGACCAACAGCAGGACACCAAGATACCAGGACTCCTCCACTTGAAGCATCCCCTCGATTTTTAAACAGGTGAACAAGCTATTAGAGTACTTCAAACCTGATGAAACAAAAGCATGAATCTTTTTGAAGCTTAGGTCTCAGGTAAATAGGTTTTTATTATACGACTATACCAAGTTCTGCAACCTGCTGCCAGAGGTTCCAAATAGGGCCCTTAATAGTGCCATAAAATGATACAAAGAAGCAACAAATGTAGGCGAATGATGAATACCAGTCTTAGAAAAATTACTGGGTTTTATAAGATATTTGATGGAAATTTCTCAACGGAATGACATTAAAATCCCAGAAAATATGTTTTCAGATCTACTTTTCTTGTCATTATTTCTTTTTTTTACATTTAATAAAATCCTACGGAGGAAAATCTGTGCTTCGTCTTTATAAAATGTTTTATGGTTTTCCTCATTTTTAAGCTAGAAATACAGATAAAATGTTGGTTATTTAAAATGGAAACTTTTTCCTGCAACAGATATTTAACAAAGATAAGTTGTGTTTAAAAAAAAAAAATAGTCATAATCAGTCAACAAAGCTTCAATAGGTGGGACTCTATATAACTCTTTATCAGTCAGACTTGGGGCAAAATGGCTCTTTGGATTTTAAAGGTTTCAGATCTCTGATTTAGAGGAATGATTTAATTAACTTGATTTTATTGCCTTGCTAAGATTAACTATGTGCTCTTTAGCAGCAGGAAGAGAACTCTCTGGAGCAATGACTCAGTTTTGTTTGAGCTTGACTGTGAAAAATTGTTAGCCAATATTTTACATTTGAAAGCAACAGAGGAGATATCAAAGGCCATTGATCACTGAAAATCATTTCATACAATAAAGCCCTCATTACTCATTAGCAAACTGCAGAAGTACAAACTACAATGTTATATTCTGGCAATGATTACAACTGCTACTTTAAATCAGTAATTAAGTACATGTAAAAAATGGATGAATAGTAATAAATCATTACTGAATGTAGAGAAAATTTAGATGATATTTGGTAAATGATACAAATAATGCATATATAAAATTTGATCAAGTAAACTATAAAGGAAATTAAAGTAGTTGAAGTCCCGCTACAGATACATACAAAACAGAGTGAAAAGCATTGCCGTCATGAACAGAATTAGCTCACTTTTTATTGCTCATTAGTTCATCCTTATTTTACACACTGAGTACAGATTTGGGGAAAAGATTACTAAAATTCATTAAAGTTAGTGGTGCAGAAAGGGGGGGTCTGTGTAATGCAAAAAGTTGGGTAGCTGGAACACTCAACTTCTGGTTTTTAAAGTTAAAAGCATTTCAGGACCTGGTTCATTATCATGCAGCACAGGTTGGAGAGGTCCAACAGGATTAAACCAGTACATCTTCTTAGTTGCTCTTATACTGGACAGAAGACATTTGTTTTATTACACATGGCTTTAATCTCTTCTTTTGCAGCCTTAACAAAAAGACTGCTGGAGTTTTTAGATGTATTGTGGACCCATTTCATAGGACTTCAGATGTCAGTGTAAATCAAGACTAAATGTATTTATTTTTTTGCCCTGGAAGATGTTCGACTCAAAAACTAGACATTTCGTATATTTGCTGCCCTGATTAGTACCAGCTGTGTGTTGCAGAAGCCGCCCCTCCTGAGCCTGGATATGTGCTCCACTTGTTTCTGCTAGAAGACAGTTTTACTTCTCCCCTGTTGCTACATGCTTGTTCAGGGTGGATTTCTTTAAGTGGAAATTAAAAACATTTAATTCATTGAATCGCCCTGAAACTAATTTGCTTCAAAAGTTTAACTTAAAAATGAATCATTTCCATTAAGAGCATCGAATAAAGACAACAGTATTTTGTCATTATCTTCCCAGAAGATTTTATTAAACATTTCACATAAATTATTAGCTAAACTAAAAAATGATCAGACACCATTACCCTTAAAAACAAAGAGTTGTTTCCAACCATTACAAATGTCTTAATAAATCTTTACATGGCTTTGTTTCATTACAGACAAACAATACTGTGTATTCAAATAACTCAAAGAAAACTGTCTTATTTTTCTAACATTTCAGCCATGCTTTTAACAATAAGAGTCAACTTTGCTCAAAAGTAACTTCTAGCTCCCATTTATTTTGCTTTTATCTTCTGTTCCCACATGAACATGTGATGAGATTAGCCTCCGTTCACTTCAATCTTATTAATCACACTTTAATCCCCTCATTAAACCTGCTGTCCCTGCTGCTCAGTATGAGGTCCCACATTCCTCTGCTGCTAAAGACATATCAGCTGCCAGTTGTTCCTTGTTTATTCAATATTCAGCGGTTTGACTGCTTGAACTTTAAAGCCTAATTTCTGAGTAAAAGAAACCTGCAATCACAGTGAAATCAAATAATTAGTAGACTGGTTTTAGGCTTTTAAACATTTTTATTGTCAATCAGATATGACAGGAACTAAATTCAATATCCGTATATACAATTATACGTTTATCTAACAAAACAAATCACTTCATCGCAATCGCATCATACAAAATAAGAATAGAAAAAGACTACTGTACAAATATTTAAAGGAACGCTTGTTGGGTTTCTGAAGAGCATCGAGGTTCTTGTGGAATAAAGGTGAATCTTTACGGTTTCCCTTGTGACGTTTATTCCATAGGTTTCTCCTGCCCGTCTTTGAACTCCGTAACTCTGGCCTGGAACACAAGAACATGAGTCACATGGTGGGTCTACGATTAGAGCATCCATTTAGCCTGAACGAGCCAAAGCTCATCTATACACACACATTGTATGTAATTTATAAGAGATTGACCAATAGTTTGTTTGACATCAAGGAAACATCTCTGATGCATGCCGCCAATCTTTGAGGCCAATTTTGTTCTTTTAACAAATGTTGGATAAATCTCAGTGTAAAAAACATAAAACATTTATTAACAAGTCAAATAAAACATTAAGAATAGATAGGAAATGGAGGGATGCAATGTATGCGCTTCACCTGATCTCAAAGCATGGCGGCTTATGCACTAATTAATCAGCAAACAAATGGGCCGACGCCGATACAAGAAAAACACTAAAACATCTGCAGGCCAATATATCTAATATGCATCGCCTAAGTAATCAGATACATCTTGTTTTTTTGGGAATAAAAATCTATACCAATGAATAGGGCTGGACAATTAACTGCATTTGCAATCTAATCGCAATTTAACAAAACCCAATTTTCATTCTAGATTTAAGAAGAGTAAGACTCTGGCTTAGTCACTGCGGCGCTTTAGGTGCCAATAATACACTAAAAGTGGGTTTGCTGCCACATAAAAGCTACCATACAGACCCACGGATGCAAGTAGAAGTAAGCATCGTACCAAGAAACAGTAACAGTAAAGTGCTGCAACAACTGCTGGTTTACAGTATGTTGAAATTGAAGGATTTTACTCTGTATTTTGTTAAAAGAGTTTTCTTAGTTTTCTTCTTCCTACTCCGTTATTTTTTTTAAGCTTAATATGTTTTACCTGTGTATGGACTGTATACATGCAAGCACTCAAAAAATAAATACATTTATTGTCTAATATCCTGTCTGACTCATGACCAGGCCGCCAAAATGTGCTCAGATCCTGGGAATTTTAAGAAGCAGAAAGCAGTGGAAGGAGAATCACAAATGATTTACGAACGACGAGAGAACATCTATAAATTGCTGCATGCCCTTCTTTAAGCTTCATCAAGCAAAAACAATATTGATGCCCGTTTTACTATGCAAAATATCTTAAAGTCGTAGGGAAATTTAATTTCCAACCGTTGCAGTTCTGAGTTCTCCCGAGTTGTGCACAATTTTACACGAGTGACTAAAGTGAATGGGATTGGTAGTTTATCAAAAACGTGGGGTTGTTGTGGCGGAAAGTTCACAAGCAAATTTGGTTGTGGGCGGTTTGTCAGAAGCATCTTGCTAACTAGTTAGCAACTTAGTGGCTAGTAGGTTTCCAATGGGAAATCACATTGGGACCAAGTAGCACTAAATTGGTGACTTAGATGCTATGGACAGCTGAAACATGAGGAGGAGGAGAGTTTTGTGTTGGAGGTTGTGGATGAGTCTCCTCCGTCATACGGCAGAAGCTTGTTTTGGTGTAGAAGGCTTACAGCCGTACATGTTTGAGCCATTGCCTCGCAACGCTGCCAGTTCTGTTAGCTCTACGCCTGCTGAAGACACAGACGTCCATCCCCATGAACACTGGGACGGAACTCAATGGGAAAGAAAATTATTCTTATTTCTTATTTCAACTGTATATTAGCGTATATTAGCTGCTACATATGAATCAAGTTGCTATGACCGAAAATAATTGATTGACAGATGACCCTTGATACATGATTGGCCGAATTTAGGTGTTCAGGCTGACGTATAACTAATTGGCTTGCATAAGATGACAAAAAAAAACAAAAATATCGTCCGATAAAGAGTACATTTATATACATTAAGCCAGAATGATTTGACTTTTAAATATAATTTTCCTATGACTTTAGGTTTAATCAGATTAAATCAAGGGACAACTGGTGGCAAACTCTCTTTATGGTGGTATCAGAATAAACATGACTGATTGGTGGACCCAAAACACACCTTCCAGATGTTTATCTCTAAAGTTTAAAGTTTCAGTAAAATGAAAACTTTTTAAAAGCCTGTAGAGCTGTACATGAATAATCCATCCCTAAGATTGAGCCCAGTCTGGGAAGCAGGGTTCTTTTGCTTCTTCTCTTCCAAGAAACAGAAATCTCAGAATCCCCACAGCGAGCAGAAAGTTGGACCCTTCCACAAGATTGATGTCGATGACAACCAACTCACAGGGATGACTGATGAGCTTCCAGATTAGCTGTAATTCTAAGTGTATTTCCAGCTTTGGTAGCGAGTCAACCAGAAAACTGGAGCCTGTGGATTAGCAGGCCAAACGTTCAGACTAGGATGATGTATCACGCTAAAAGAACAGCAGCAAAACGCAAACATGACAGGATGGAATGGATGGACCGCCTGCTATGAGTTTCTGGGAGTTGAACCAACAGCAGCCACGGCTCCTAAACCACACGAGCAGTTGGAGATTTTCTGTGCCACAAGCATTCAGACGATAACCGTTGGCAGATCTGAATGCACTGAAGAACACTTTGGTCGAAAGAAACCATTTCAAAGAGAATGGCGACGCCACAGCAATAAAACACCAACTGTAGAAATAGATTCACATCTAACAGTGCAGGCCGTGTTCCTACAGGGCCATCAGCGAAGGATCAAATCATAACAAGCTGACATGGATTATTTAAATTGACTTCAGAGAAGAGCAGGATGGAGATCCAAACTAAAGATGTAAGAAGGTGACGTCAAACGCATCCAAGCAGTCAGAAATATTTGGACTCATTGCTCTGTGTTTCTCTGCACTATTATTCAGTAATAGTACATAGTAAAACATTGTTAATTAGGAGGTCTGGTGAAAAACTGGTTATAAAGAGTGAAAATAAAACAAGCATCCGCTTTTTGTTTCCACTCTTCCTTTCATGTTTTTACTCTTAGTTTTCTTTCAGGACCGTAAATAATTATATTCCTGGTGTTAAATCTTCCTTACTGCAAAGGTCAACAGGCATCCAAGGGGCTCCAACAGAGAACCTTTAAAAAAAATCATATTTGGCTGGAGAGTTGTACCTGAAAGGTGTTGAGGACATGTTGACAAACATCATGGAGCTCACTGAGGCCTTTTCGCAGCGGCTCCACAGCTGGAATCCCTCCTGAAACGATCAGAGAAGACATTATTGAAAACCCAACCAGGATGGAAGCTCTAACAGCTGAACTATGATGGTAACTAACATCACATGTTCTTTTTTCCCCCCCATGTGTGAAAACTATAATCACGGTTCCAGTTTGTAAACCCACACAATGGAGCATTTAGGCTAAAGCCTGGATCACACAGGTTGCATCTGACCTATTAATCTATAATTTTTTTTCTGTCACACGGACTGCACTGCGTACAGAAAGGCTCCTACTGCAGTAGCAGATTTTCTTTTTCCACTTCTGTCATTGTGCCCCATAAACTGAAAGGATGTCCCACATTTGACAAATTGAGATAAATAAAAGTAAAACAACAACAAACAAAAAAAACCTAGCTGGTGGGATTACAAAGCAAAGCCTCACTTCCTTAAACCAGAAGAAATAGAAGAATTTAATATATGCTTTTAATGAGGGGAGATCCTTAAAGAGAAGCTACTCTTTCCTTCACTGTACCTCGTTTAATTTTTTGCGAAGATCAAAGAGGATCAGTATTTTACTTCATCCGTTTTCTGTCCTCCTTAACTCCTATCATGGGTGAAATATTCTGTTTTTAAAAATATTTAATTGACCACTTATGAACGAGTCTGCCCCGCCTGCTACATATGCTCTGTGCATGTGAGATTGAGAGAATTTAAAATGTAAATTCCACCTAAGCCGATGTGTTTCACTTTGCACCAGCATCTCTCTTTCTGTCAGAAATTGCCACTGAATTTTTGCGCAGTTCAACTAAAACAGACCTGGAGTCTCTCTTAGTTGGAGCTACAAAAGCCCCCCTTGCAGAAAATTTAATCAGATGTGTTCATCCCAATTTACTCTCAATGAGTGCTAAACGTCGCGACCTCTTGCAACATGATTTTGTGTTGGACTGGACGATAAATCGTCTTTGGGGTTTTCAGGGATTCACTTTCTGAACACGTTTTCATCCTTTTACCTAATTTTGTTGACTTGTGTCAGGTTCAACTGAATTTCCTAAAATAATATTTCTATTGGTGCAGAATCCTTTCATGACTGTTGACATGACAACCAGAGGAAAATGTGTAAATACACAGCTCAAGAAATAAATTCCCAATTCTGAATGAATATTCTCATAAATACTTTGTTCCTCTGATGAATGAACTGAAAACAAAAACGCACCAATTAAAGTGGAGAAACATTACAGGCTGATTCAGCTTTGATGAGATTTCCTTAAAACAGGTCAAAACGAGGCTAAGTATTGTGTGTGGCCTCCATGTGCCTGTTTGACCTCCCTAAAATGCCTGGGCATGCTCCTGATGAGGTAGTGGATGGTCTCCTGAGGGATCTCCTCCCAGACGTGGACTAAACCATCCATCAACTCCTGGACAGTCTGTGGTGCAACGTGATGTTGGTGGATGGATGGAGACATGATGTTCCAGATGTGATCAATTGGATTCAGGTCTGGGGAACCAGCGGCCAGTAAATAGCTTCGATGTTTTCATCTTCATGACACACTCCAACTACATGAAGTCTAGGATTGTCCGGCATTAGGAGGAACCGAGGGCCAACCGCCCCAGCATATGCTTTCATTATGACTCTGTTACCTAACGGCAGTCATGCTACCTCTGGCGAGCACATGGAGGGCTGTGCTGCTGTCAGCCGATGAACAAGATGTGAAACTGATTGTCAATCAGTGTGGACAGCTTTATTTCACATTAATTTGATTTTAATAAAGTTATAATGTGTCATTTACACGATACCTTTATTTTTTTTTTAGCAGTATATTTTGAACCCATGAAAATTTATAAAACAATTATCTTTATACTATTATTTTTGTCAGTGAATTTTCTTTCTGCGCCACTAAACTTTCAGTAAAACCATTATTTAGAAAATATATTTTAACAAAAATAGTTGACAATGATCTTTAAAGGTGTAGTAGGAGATCTTTTCTGCATTTTTTACCATGTGGCTTGAAGATCTCCCCACAGCCGCCTTGCAAACATTGAATGTTTTGGTGTTTAAAAGTTGATTTTGATTTCTTTTCAGCTGATTTTAGTATATTCTTTTACATTAAAGTGTACTTTAAATTGATAAAATATTAGTTGGATGCTTTTAAAGATTTTGATAGCCCTCATCAGCCCAAAACTGAAATAGGTTTTAATTTGATAAAAAAAAAAAAAAAGAGCTTCTTCAAAATCCATTGCACCGTCCTTGAGATGGACAATAGAAATAGTTTATCTGCCAATTAAAAACAAACGAGTAACAACAAAAACAATAACAGAAACTTATCAATAAGGTATTATACTGTAATACATTTTTTCGGGTAATAGCTGAGAGGATCTATGTTGTGGGTTTAATTTTATTTCCCCTCAAATGGCAATCTCACTTACTTTAAAAACACTTCACCGATCCAAGTGATAAATTAAATGATGCAACTATTATTAAAGGGGTTTCTTTAAGAGTTGCTGTAGTCAGGAAGGACATCCTGTAGAGGTCAGTCTTACAGCGGCTCTAAAAAATGCCTCTGACTGAAGACGTTGTCGCTTTAAGACATTCTGATTAAGACGCTACTTAGGGGTTTTCTAAAATTATTTGCAGAGGCTCAGAACAGAACCAAACTCCATCGTTAGCTAATAATTTGTATATCCACAGCAGGTGGATATACAAATTCCCGACAAAATTTAAATATAGAAAATAAATCATTGACATCAAGCCAGTTAAATGCAATTCCCTCTGAAATGACTGCATTAAGTTTTAAGCAGTTAATATTCAGGAGATTTACGCAAACAGGATTAATCTGTAAAGTAATTTAGCTTCTTTTGGACGTTTATGTTTTTAATGACCCAAGGGGGTAATATTTTTTGTGCTGTAATTTAATTTAATTTTAAACTCTATGGGAAAAGGTCTCACTTACATAAAAAGATTAAGATTCTGTGAAGTACGTCTTTAAAAATGTCCTTAATGATGCCAAACACAATACACTGGAGGGCTCAAACTACACATGAAAAGAAAGTGGATATCGTGTGAATAACAATTTGATACAGAAACTATGCTTTCGTAAACATAAAGAGTTCACACACTTTCTGCCTTTAGAGGATAGGATAACCTTTTCTCTTTAATACTAATCCAATAAAAAAAAACAAATAAAAACATAAATATATTGCATATATTTCAAATCTAGTCTAAGAAACAGCAGCGCTACAGTTTATACTGTTTTATATCAGAGTTAAACCGAATGAAGGGAATAAACTGAACTTTTTTTTTATTTGAAAATCATCAGTTGACACCAGTTGCGAACAGCAAGTGAACACAGAGGCTAAAAGTACGCTAAAAACTGAAGGAAACTCAACCACATGTGGTAAACAGCGAATAGGGTCAAGCCAGGACAAACATTTAGACATTATTCTAAACATTGATAGATAAATAGAGCAATCAGTCATAACTTTCATCTGTTTACCCCTTGGTAGTAGTGAGGGAGGCAATAAAGGCAGATTTAGACAAAAAGCAGCTTTTACTGCATCAATGCCTGAGTGCAAGAGAGGAACAATCAGTCATTTGGGACCTGAAGGCCAAACATGTTTAATGAAGTCATGATCACAGATCCTCGGGTCCAAAACTTTGCCCCAATAACAAGAAGTTGTTTAGTTAAGTCCTTTCATGTGATTTTTGTTGTTTAAATGGCAAAATGTGGGACAGATAATACGTCACTAGTGTTTGTGTTACTGTGTGTTTATGAGATCCAGTGTTGACTCAGAGTCCAACGCTGGACTTTCTACTGCAACCAGTGACCTAAGTGAACGCATAGGACTCCAATCAGAGTGTTTACTTCGCAACCCGGACTGAAAGTTCTCTTTCAGATGCTCTACATGAGTGCAGATAGGCTAATCTGGAGCATCAGACTCACTGTGCCGTAAATCAAAATGGCATTTAACTTTCTCCTACATTTAGAGCCACAAACATGAAGATATTTCACAGAGATTTAAGGTCAGGGATCCTAGTGCTGGGTTCAAAGGTGAAACGAAGAGAATAGGTGGGTGTTAAAAGCTGCACACACATCTGAAAATTGGAGCATTAATTTGCATTCACCCCCTCAGTAGTACTTGGTAGAATTACCATAGTTTGTATTAGCTTAGCTATGCTTTTTTTTTTTTTTTTATCTATTCAGGTCTGGTCAGTTTAATTAACTTTTCTATTAGAGTGGACTAATATTTAAATGGAGTCGGATCTTTAATACGCAGTCTAAGATGATGTTTGCAGAGGCACTACGGCAACAACCTGTACTGTTTATAGGTGTTGTCAGACTAATGATACGTTCAGATAAAGCGCAATAAAAGCAGCAAAAAAGCTTCTGCTGCTTCATTTTTTATGCGTGTACACATTAGGGGTGTAATAATAATTGTTTTGTATCGATGCATCGATCCAACAGCCGAAGATCTGATGCATCGATACGTCCGCAAGAGTATCGATTCATGTTTTTTTTCCCTCCGGTCTATTTTTATCCATTTGTTCCTAGATGTAATTCTCCCTCCTGTGCTGTGGTGGCGCTAAACCTATTTTGCCCTCCTACCTCGCTTCCTGGTTATACTCTTACAGCAGTGTGTTGCAGTAAGGATTGACACAGACATTTTTTATTTATGCTCAATATTGAAGCGTGGTCTGAGCTACACACTGTGGGTCTAGATACGGCCGAGGCAGCGAGGAAGTGGGGGCGAGTTTAGTCCGACGACGGAGGGACATGAGGGCCGAAAGAGCGGAGATCCAGGTGGAAAAAGGATCCCAGCGTTCTCACGCACCTCGCTCTTCTAGCGGGTCAAACTTCACGAGTTGTTTTCCGCAATTTCTTCGATGAAAACAAAACAAGCCGGCCTCCTGTCTGCGGTCAGCTACAATTTGGGAAAGGTGCAGCGGAGCATCTGTGGAGGGGGCGGGACGTCTGGAGCCGAGGTATTGCATTGCACTCATTGCACTGATTTTGTGCAGTATTTTTTGATGCAAGGCCTTTCAGAATCTATAACGCAGGGGTATTAATATTTTTCAGTGAATGAGGTTTTAATAGGAATAGGTGGAGTACAACTTTTCTACTTCTGTTATTTTCTGTAGTTTCTCAAAAAAAAAAAAAACAATGCATAACGATATTACAGCTTTCATTGATTTATTTCAAATTTGAAACATTGTCTAGCCTGTAAGGTGTAAAAAAACAAACAAAACTGAACCAATTAATCAAACCGAATCGAATCGTGGTGTATTCTTGAGTATCGAAAATAATCGAATCGTTGGGTCAGGAAATCGATACTGAATCGAATCGCCATGATGGGTGTGATTTATACCCCTAGTACACATTGAGGTCAGCCGCGCCTCAAGAGGATCTTTGATGCTCCTGAAACGTGTCCAGTAAAGTGTGTCCAGATACGCCTGATGCTTCTGGTGCTCCTGTTTTCAATGGCAGAGGACGGCTTTGCTATATTTGCTGTTATAAGTGGATAAAAAGTAGTTTTAATATTTTTTAAAGTGAGAAAGTCTACCTCAAAACATCCTCTATGGAGTCAGTTCATCAAGATTACGATCTTGCTTTCAAATATTAATTCGCTGTCGTACCAGCATGCAACCCCCGTACACCAGTGGTGCGCTGTCAGTGGAAATTCCCAGCAACAGCTGCCTCTAGCCCGGTCGATTCTTGGGGGTTTTCTGCTACGGTTCGTTGCTTCATGTACATAATCCAAACTGCAGGGCCCAGAATAATAAAAGCGAACATATTTTGCCAGCAATTCTAAGTTAATTTAGGCGTTAATTAACTGTTTTAGAGGAGTGATCGTAGTGATCTGCATCAGCAGTGCTGTGTCTGTCTCCCTGCCAGCTCCCACATCAGCTTCTCTGATTGGTTGATGTGAACCAATCAGACCAATGGTTTGCTGCATCAAGCAGCTAAAGTTAAAATTTTCCAACTACAGCATTTGCTGCTTGGGAAGGACGTCACATGCATCAAAAGCTCAGAAGCTCATGAGGCGCAGCTTCAGCTGCTTAAATGTGTCAAGATTAGCTGCTCCTGCTGTTCAAAACACACTCCAGGACCTTTTGATGCACCTTGATGCGCGTCAACCATTGACTTTGCATGTAAACCAGCTGATTCTGCTATTCAGCAGATTCAATGTAGCATCAGAGAAGAGGCTCAGTTGTGCTTGATCATGTCTGCAGCGTTTATGCTACATGCAGCTTTACTCTTGTACTAAATATTCAGTCCAAATCCATGTGGGTACGGCACAAACTGTAAGTGCACAACACAACATCTTGAAGTAGAAAAAAGCAGTTTCCAACATTCTTTATGCCTCTTGGCGTCATCCATGAGTCACCGTGGTGATATTTATGGGCCAAATCATCCGATGTCTCTACATGTTTATATGAGCGGACACTTTTCATCTGTTTTTCTCCATGGAGCCGTCTGTTTAGTTCCAAGTTTTCCTTGGTGCACATTGCAGAAATTTGGACGGCAGGTGCTTAAATGACCCAAATTGGCTGGTCTTACGTCACGGAAGGGTGAAGCTTATAAGAGAGGGGCCATAACCACGTTACAAGAGAAGAATTAATGATGAATGGTTAAACAGTCATTCTAAGGGAAGTTATGACTTTCTTTTTTGAGTTTTCACGGCACTGGTGGCTCATTTTTTCCAACAGTAGTCTGACAGGAAAAGGGGTATGAGAGAGGGGGAGAGACATGCGGCATAGGACCACAGGTTGGATTTGAACCCGAGTCTGCCACGTCGATGACTAAGGCCTCCGTAAATGGGTCGTGCATGCTAACCACTGCGCCACCTGCATGCCTTTTTTTAAAAAGCCATCAACAAATCTACCACCTGAGCTATGAACCTCTACAGCTCCTCCAGAGTTACCAAGGGCCTCCTTGTTCGTTTTTAAAATAACGCCCTCTTTGCCTGACCTCTAAGTAACTGTGTCTTAGGCTTGGAAAAGTTTTCTTTAAAGAATTTTTGGATATCCGACTAATCTAAATAACCAATCTATAGATTAATCGATTTGCAAAATAATCATTAGTTACAGCCCTACAATGAACGGAAGAAAAAAAATAAAAAGGTTTAGAGGTTTGAAAAGTAGAGGAGTTGTGAAGGACTAAGAGGAGTTGAAGGCCCGGGGCTGACCTCGTGTCTGGATGCGAAAGTTGATCTTGCTCTCGGAAGGATGGGTGATGGTGTACCCACAGAACTCCACATCCGGGCTGACAAAGGGAAACAGGAAGGTCAAGGTGAGACAAAGTATTGTTCTGAATGTTTTGCTTAAGTGTGCGAAAGGAAAGGTTTTAATCTCTCTGCCAGACCAGAAATAGACCTAAGAAATCACAGATGAAGCATGAAAATCATGAGCCGATTTAATCCTGTCTGTTTTGGGAGGAACCAGTTCCTTCCTACATGCGTGTGAGTTTTTAGATTAAAGTTTTATCTCAGGAAAAGAACAAAAATCACTGACTTCTTCATGATCATATATCTGAGGGAGTTGCCCAGCGTATGGTCTTCATTGTGCATCACAAACGTCACACAGCCGTCATCGGCCCCATCAGCCTGGACCTGTTAACACAAGATAAATGTTACATAGTGCACAACGGCCACACAGAAAATGACCTGGTTTATGTCATGCATATCTTCTTTCCTTCACATCTGAATCAATTAATCTTGTTTTAAAGATAAGAGAAGTTACATTTTGGTCCTTGGGGAAGCATCGGCTTTGAATCATAGCTACAACAGCAATGGCTCGATTTAGGAGTCATGACTGATAAACAACTGAGTGTACATCACCTAAATTAAGCTGCGTTTAATCACATCATGTAGGCATGGCTGCCTCTTAACGACATGCTGCTGTTTCAGGGCATCTGCTGACAGACACACACTGCTACTTTAGGAGTCGAGCTTCACGCGTTGCTTGGTTAAGGAAACTGATTACAAACTCTTTCATTTCAAACAGAGTTGCTTTTTTTGGTCCTGCTTAAAAATACTCCAGCGTTGTACAATAACAAGATCTGACAGCAGCTCTAGGTGCTGCACAGTAGAGACTGACACGGGAGTGGATTTTCACTCCTGTCCCGTCCCACTCCCGCAGAAAAAAATGGTGTCCCGTCCCAATCCCGGGCCAGAGTAGAAATCTAAATCCTGTCCCGTCCCACTCCTGGTGAAATTACTCCCGCTCCCATTCAGAATGACTCCCGCTCCTGCACCACTCCCATTCTTGTTGTTTTTGAGCGCGGGTGAAAAACTCAGAGCGGAAGTTACTATTGGTTTGCTCCCGCTCCCGTCTGCTCCCGTTAATGTTTAATCCTGTACCGTCCCAATCCCTTGATCGTTACTAATACTGACTCCCATCCCACGGGAATCCCACGGGAATCCCGTGACCCATGGGATTCCCGAAAAAATGTCAGTCTCTACTGCACAGTCAGAATCCAAATTACCTCAAATCTTCTAAATAATCAAATGTGATAATAACAGCTGTAAGTCCTCCTCCACTGCCATGTTTGTTTGATTCGCTGCTGCAGGTTTCTCGCCAGCGTATTACACCTTAACCAGGCGTTACATTTAAAAAGTCACCATTGTGCTGAAAACCAGGCTGATACGCTAATTGTTTATGAGAGCATCGGCCCTTTGACTGAGATCTGGGCTTCTTCCCTAAGGCATTTAAGCATAGACACTAATTAAGCTGAAACTTTTAGAATTACAATGGACTTATGCCAACATCCTGACTTTTAATTAACATAACGCCAAAGGGGCCATGTTTGTAGAGACATTTACCTACTTATTTACACATGTAGAGGGAAGTGCTATGAAAAACGTGAACCCTGCGCTGTTAAGATCACCATCAGTTCACTGAGACAGAGAAATTAAAATTAGCTTCTTTGCTGATATATTTAGCGACTTCCAAGTAAGGCTAGGTAAAAAAAAAAAAAATCGATTTAATTGATTTTGGATCGATTCCTTTACATTTTTGCAAAATCGATGTCTAGGGAATGAGATCGACTAGTTTTATAGTGATGCGCGTGACGTTCACAGTCAAATGAGCAGGAAAGATGCATTCAAGATTACTTAAACCCAGACAGCTTCAAATATAGCCAATAGGTTGACTGGAGACATTAACAAATGGGGGCAAACCAGGAAACACCCTGTAGTTGTTACAGACAACGCTGCAAACATTGTTTGTGCAGAGAAGATAATGCAGCTCATGCATGTCTGCTGTGTCACGTCCTCTTGCTCGAGTGAGGCTTCACTTTTTCACTTTTCACAAACAAGTTTGCACTTATGAGACAGTTTTGTTCACATCTCAAGTTTAAACTGTCTGATTAACAAGTTTGCACTTCGCGTTTAATGTGACGGGAAAAAATATAATACATTAATATTTTGAAACACAGTTGAACCACTTTCATTATTGTAAAAACAGATGAAATCGAACTTAATCGATTTAGAACTGTATCAATCAAAATTGAATTGATTCAGGACTTTGGAGAAAATACCCAGCCCTACTTCCAAGTAGGGTTGTCAAAAGTATCGAAACTCAAAAAAGTATCGATACTGAAATGTTGTATCCGGATACAATACTGGTTTTTAAAAGTATCGATACAGTGCCGTCACCAGTGGCACCTAAGCAGTCATTCATCTAAAGTGCAGAATAGAGGACAATGCACTTTCTGAACCCTGTGTGATTGAATAATTATTTGTCTTTTCAGTTTTAGACTTTGTTTTTGTAAGCTGCTGAAAATTATTTTTGTTTCTTAACTGGTTTGGCTAGGGTCATTGTTATGTGTGCAAAGCATAGCCAAGGAAGGAACACTTAATTTGAAATTTCTAAGTTTTTTATCAAGCTTGCTTAATATTATGCACAGCATCCAACCTTTATTGTGTTTATTTATTGTATTTTATTTATTAATGAAAATATTTCTGTAGACCTTTGGAGTCTTTGTTTTTATCCTTGTGGTATCGAAAATGGTATCGAGTATCGAATATTTTCCTTAGTATCGGTATCGAGTTGAAAAGTTTAGTATCGTGACAACCCTACTTCCAAGACCCCTTTAGCTACTTTTTTTCCTCAAAAAAAGCGACTAGCAATAAATAGAATAGAAAATCCCTTTATTGTCCCACAATGGAGAAATTCTGGTGTTTACAGCAGCAAAAAGATTAAAGAAAAAAGGTCCACACAAATGTGGACCTTAAAAAAATGATAAATAAAAAATCATATCACAAACTCTGCCTCACACTGATAACACCAAACCAAAAGTACTGCATATTTGCACCATATATATTAATGCTCTGAACGTCCATATTAATGCGTTTTCTGCACCATGTTTTTTCTTCCACAATTTTTAAATTTGATCACTGCTGCACTTTATGGAACAGAAATGTTCATTTACTGTCTGAAAAGCTGGACTATACGAAATTTAGTTTTGTATACAGTGTGTGTGTACAAAACGACAATAAAAGGTGTCTACGGTAATTTTATGTCTAGTCTAAGTTCAAAATACAAAGGCCGTCATGGTACAATATGATTTCCATGACATCCAGAAGTGATGAGGAGGTTTGTTATTTTTATTTATTGTATTTTATCAGTCTGTGTAGGATATAGATTTAATACATGCCTAACTTACTGCAGTCATAGTCACAGTTTTGTCAACTCTGTGCTGAAGTAGCGCAAAGATGTCTGTCTCCATATATCGCTGATCTTTATTTATTCACTAGATTGCTGATTGCCCCCAAAAATGAAGCCACCGTCCGCTGGTTCTCCCCCCTCCCATGGAGATGTGCAGTAAATGCCAAATGGGTAGCATTTGGCTGCAAAAACAAGCAGTTTGCCGGCTGTGGGAAGACATTTCCAGGTAATTTCACTGTCAGTGGATGTAGTCACCACGAAAATCCATATATACGCCGATGTATTCATTAGTACAATATGTAGCTTAGCATAGTCTGGCTATTTCGGACTGACTTGAAAACACTGACTGAGTTAGCCATTGACATTGTTTCTAAAGTTAGAAAATAGAAGGTAGAGTAAATAGAAAGTAATTCACTGTGAAATGTCAATGTAGTAATTATTAAGTTTTAATTTACACACATATATATATATATATATATATATATATATATATATATATATATATATATATATATATATATGTGTAAATTAAAACTTAATAATTACTACATTAATAATTACTACATTACTACATTGACATATATATATATATATATATATATAGGCAATTATTTAAGTATTAGTAGTGTGTCGCTGAATGTGTACATTGATGACTGAAAGACATCTTCTGCCTCCATTTATCTGTTTACTACAGTGTGTTGAATTCATGTTAATGTGGATTTAAAGACATTTCAATTAATTGAAAAAATTGCAGGGGGAATATAAAAAAAAAGTCTAATCAACCAAAACTTTCGCCAACCCCCATGCAGTACCGCCGTGGACCCCATAGGGGTCACAGACCCCCTGTTGAAGACCTCCGATTTAGAGACTTCATAATGACTATGCAATGCGATGTGCCTTTTTTTTTTTATTATGATTACTTAAAGTAATCTACTGTTTCTATAAAACAACAAGTGTATGTCAAACTGATAAATTTATCTTTATTTTAAAAGTCTTAAGTCCCCCTGAAAATGAGAACATCATCATTGTTCGATGCTTTAGTGCAAGTATCGTCTACATTGCGACCGGTCTAACTAGGGTGTACCAACATGGCGGCCGATGACTTCACTCCACCCAATGGCATAACGACACAACAATAGGCCCATAAGTAAAATTATCTGGGTGGGCCCCATGTGAAGTACAACACGTGATAAAGGTTCACGATACGGCTACAGTTCCATAAATCTGCCATGCAGATACAATTCTCAGTAGTATATGATCACACTTCACACACAGAAAAATGGAACCATTGGTGACAGTGCACCACCACATTTTACAGCCATCCCAAGTTCCAAAAACTCATTCCAGGGAAATGCTTCTTTCCTTTCTCTTTTCTGGAATCCGCTACTCTCTTTGGTATCCATCGTCACCAATACATTGTACATAACGGTTATGGTTTTAATCTACACTCTGGATTACCTATAATTCCAAGTCGTAGTGTAAAAATACTTTAAAAAAATTATTATTTTAAGATCATTACTGCGGTTCGAAACATATTATAAGTGTGTATTTTTTACCAACTGTTTAATGAACTATACACAGTTATTAATGTAGTAAGTCCCACTGTCTGCTTTGCTATTGGCTCACCATCATGTTGAAATCTGGTACGTGTTGAGGCATAAATATGGTCCAGTCAGCCACTTCAGTATCAGGTGGGTTTAAGAGGAATGTGTTCACACCATTACCTCTGCATACAGATGTCCTAGTCTACAATTGCGTAGGGGGCCACCAAGTTTCACTGATGGGGCCCCTAAGAGGTCGAGGGCCCGTAAGCAACTGCTGTCTCTTCTTACCGATATTTGTGCCATTGCTTCAACCCCTGTACTACCAACGGGCTATCAGCAATCCAGTGAATAAATAGAGACAGGGGCGTAGCCAGAACATTTTAATAAGGGTGGCCAGGCATTAACCAATGTACACTGAGGGGCCGAAAGCAGAAAGGCACCAGAACCTCAGGGTCAATCTACACTGTTCCAACAGGAACATGAAAAAGCACAACATCCATATTTTCTAAATAAAGACAAACTATACTTTCCTAAAGCCTTTGCTAACAAATAGACGCACATATTTAAATATCCGTGCTTTCTAGATAAAAGTATAGTGGATACAATTCTTTCAGTTTTGAAATCTGGGGCGTAAATCTTTTCTTTTCTCATTACTTACCTACTTTTATCAATAAACATTCTGCATAAAATTGATATTTACAAGCATTAATATCTACATAAATTGATTATTTGATAAGTTTTTATTAAAATAGTTATTTATCCACAATTTCACTGGAGACTCCCAGATGACTGCCAGAGACACATTTTCTCTTTACCCCATATAACACAAAATCTAGCTCTGAAAAGAGGATGAAATCTGTATTTATTACCTTTGATGTTAGTATATTTATGTGTATAATTAACCACAAAAATTATAAATGTTTTGAATATTCCAATTTAGAGTATTACCGCTGCCATCATCTGTATTAGAGGGAAATAAATAGTAGAGGTGGCCACAGATTGGCTAAGGGTGGCCATGGCCACCCCTGGGCCCCCCATCTAGCTCCGCCCCTGAATAGTGCCATAAATGTGCAACCCACTCCTATAAAATTACAAATAGCAAATTATAAGGCAAATATAAAGCTTGGGACTCTGTTTGTAGATTATAAAAAGAGATTTCAATCTCAAGGGACTTCCTGGTTAAATAAAGGTTAAATAAAAAAATAATAATAATAATAAATAACATATTTTACAGTTCTATCAGTAAATGGCCTATAATAATTACACACTGTAGCTTTAAATAAAAAGGGCATGTTCCTTTATGCAAACTAAATGGTTCACATGGTAGATCACTTAATAAAAAAAGGAAAATAGGGGAAATCTTTTGCTGTATTAGAAAATGCGGTGGAAAAACTGGGATAATCAGATAATCATAAATGTTAAACAACTGATTGAATTTTAGATCAATCTAATTTCCAAAATTCCAGAATATAAATAGTCCACAATGAACCCTGCAAAAGAAATCTGTCCAGTAGAAGAACTGAAGCAAATAGCTTTAAATGTTGCTAACTGCTGCAGCTGCGCACGTGAGAGAAGAACATGGGGTTTGTAGGATATGCTAACACTGGCTCTGGTTCTCCAATGATAACATTTCAATTAAGTTTAATAACACCGTGTTTTAAAACAAATGTCTGGTTTAAAACATTGACAAACACGAACGTTTCTAACTTCTTACCATCTCAAGAACCGGTCTCTTTTCGACTTCAGCTGCCATGCTTCAGAGTTTACTGCGAGCTCTGTGGGATTTAAACCCTCATTGTTGTCTGACAGGCAGGAGAAAAGACTACAGGGTCAATTTGATCCGACTTGCTGTTTCACCAATGTTTTCCAAAATAGAACATCAGTAGGAAAAAAGGAGTTATTACTATTAATTTATTTTGAAAATATTTATTAGGTGAAGCAGAAACTGTGCAATTTGACTCTCAAAGCATTAAGTTTTACTTGCTATGGCCTACATATCTCAGTTCCACATGATGAGGCCTGTGTCACTGTTTCAAAATAGTTTATTTTAAATAAAGATGCTTAAATCTTAGTTTTAGCGCAGAGTTTGATTGTGGTTACTTTTTTAATTACCGAATTATATTCAATTTTTATGTATATGTTTAACAATAGCATGCAACTCATTCACTGTGACTAACATGTACTATGAGAGGTAATCATAGTAAAACCTGCATTTTTTTTTATAAAAAAAAAACTATTTTTTTGTCAGCCTCTATTGTCATAGGTTAATTTCAAGACAACATATCAAAGGTCCCCTAATGTCCCAAACTGAAGGCTGCGCTCCCACAACCAGTTAGTTTGTAAAGAAAGCCCAGGAGCATTGAATTATACATTATGTAACAGAATATTTTACATAATAATTTTATTGGTATTTGTTTGCTATATATCTGTATTTTTTCCTATATTAAACGGATCAGGAGATGTTGGGTTAGGCTACTGTTTTCGGGGGAGGATAAAAAAAAGGGGGAACACGTCCGTTGGGAGAGTTGCGAGTAGAGAAAAGATGTATTCTGCATTCATCAAATAAAAATCAGATTCTTCAACCTATCTGTAGCCCGTCTGTTCCACACCTCGGTAACAAAGAAACATGACTGGTATAACTTAAAGGGTTACAATTAAATGAAGGCCAGAGCTTGACCAATGGGCTGCTACAGACCAATTATGACGGTTTATTTCCTCTTATGACATCATAAAGGGTAACACTGTCAAACAGAGCATTTTGAGCACACATTAGCTAAGAGGTGGAGAAAGGCAGCGAGAGAGGGGAAAGGCTTTTTTTTTCAATTGTGAATCTCATACACAGGTTTCAAGACACATATGACTGTTACAAAATGTTTATAAATTGAATTTAGCATAATATAGTAAAACTACAGTTTTGTATGACTTCTTGAGCCGCTGTAAATGCAATCAGTCAATCTTTTCATTACAAGCCCTTTTTAGTTAATTGGGCAGTGTTTTGTTCCTCTGCCATTTAACTTTATTAATGCAAAATCTTAAGTTAAAAAACATATGTCCCTCCTTACATTTACAATTAATTTCATTTTAAGGTTAAAAAAATATTGAAGGTATCCTCACTTGTTTGGTATAAACTCAAATGACACAGAATGGCTTACTTACTACTGAAATGTGGCAGATGTGTGATAATTTCCCTGCTTCTGGGTTTAAATTGCCTACGTTACACTAACCTGAAATGTAAGACAGAGGGCAAAATTACCCAGCGCTTCCTTAACCTTAACGACGGCTGCGCGTGTAAAAAAAAAGAAACCGTGACTATGTAAATACGTCACAAGTAGAAAAAATGTAGTTTAAACAGTCTGCATGCTGCCTTACAGTCAATGACAGAAAGGGGAAGCATAAACTACATTACCCAGAAATGACTTGAAAGCGCTTCCGGTTCTGTTAATTTGCGAGCAGAAGTCACTCGAAAAGGATTAGCTAGCGTGCTAGCAACAGAAACACTTTCAGATGTAGAAATAAGAGCTGAACGCGGAGCTGAAAGCGTCACCATATAGAGAGGTAATAAGTATATCTGATAGTTGCGTCAGTTCGGTTTTATTTTGTCAAACCATTTATTTCCTCTTGTTTTCGAACAACAACAAAGCTCGTTGTGTCCCACCCACCGTTATCAGCTTTTGGTTTTACTTCTTGACATCAGTTACTCAAAACAAGGCGGTGGTAATAAGCTTAGAGGCTACTGCTGCTTATATTTCTATGCTCCAGGGCCTGTACTTTTATTTTCAATTTATTTTATTTCCAGTTAGTTTATATATATATATATATATATATCTTCACCACTAACAACATTGTATCTTGCTTTCTGTTACAGTCAGCAGGTAAACCAGTTAAATCCCCCCTCCCTTCCTCCAGCTGTTGCCATGGCAATCCTTTTTGCTGTGGTGGCTCGTGGAACCACCATCCTGGCCAAACATGCTTGGTGCGGCGGGAATTTCCTGGAAGTTACGGAACAGATTTTGGCCAAAATTCCTTCAGAGAATAATAAACTGACCTACAGCCACGGCAGGTAAGCCAACTCCCGCTGTGGAATGTAACCATAGGAACATTTGGTGTAGATCTGTCTACCATAGAGAGCTCCTGAGTTGTTTATTTGTATGTAATCTGATCTGATATGTAGTCATGTGAGTCCTAGGCATAATAACTGCTGGAGTCAAGGCTAATATTTTTTCTCTCTCTTAGTTATCTCTTCCATTACATCTGCCATGACCGAATCATCTACCTGTGCATCACAGATGATGTGAGTATATTCTAGATTTTAACATTAAGCATACATTCACAAAACCCAAATTAAATCCTCCTTTTTATTGTACACACTAACATTAGCCTTAACTTAGGCTTTGAAACACCTAGCCGATGCAGCTTGAGCACATCATCAGTGAAGGACCCAGGGTCATACGGTGTTTCGGGTCTGATTTTCAGACACCCCCTCGCCTGGGCGACCCAACAGGGGTTGATCAGGCCCCAATTTGTTGTCTTGCAGCGCTCTATTCCATGCGCCTCCACTCTTGATCCAAAGCCACCTTAAGGCTCTTTCAGCGGCCTCACTGATGTTTCGTCCAACTGCCACAGAGCCAACTAAGACGCTATGTCTCACTTTAAATATGTTTTGTCTCATGTTTATTTCTTATCTGCCAGGATTTTGAACGATCACGTGCGTTCAGCTTCCTCGGTGAAGTGAAGAAGCGCTTCCAGACTACATATGGGTCCCGAGCGCAAACCGCTCTACCTTATGCCATGAACAGCGAGTTTTCCTCTACACTCGCAGCACAGATGGTATGTAGCTACAAATCCCTTCTCAAAAACAACAATCATTATGAAGGCTTTCGTTTGACTTGGCTGCAGTGTTTACCATTACAGCAAAAGAGTTGTGATCAAAGCGCTGATCAGGACTATAAAGTGTTTTATTCAGATCTGATGCTTTAGTTTTATATCTTGCTTGTTTATTTACCTGTAATCCTCCAGTGCATTATAACCAGCATGTACACCTTAACTGGGATGCAGCTACTGTTGTTTATTGTGGAGATTAAATTACCACATCTTTTTAAAGAGATACAATCTTTGTTTGCCCTTATAGAAAAGAGTAGGGTGTTCAAAAAGTCAGGTATATTGTATAAATGGTTAGTAAATGATGTCTATGTATAAATAGAGGTCATCTGTTTGGATTTCAAGAGATTTTAATATATCGAAAGGTAAAAGAAAATACTGCTGCCTTTACTTGATATCAATACAATTTATTTTAGGGTAACTGTTTCAAGAGGCACCAAATCTAAAAAAAAAAATCTCGTTGGTCTATTTTGCAGAAACACCACTCAGACCCACGGGGTTCAGATCGTGTGACTGAGACCCAGATGCAAGTTGATGACCTAAAGGGTATCATGGTTCGTGATATTGGTAAGCAGGCCACCTGAGTTTTAAGTCATTAGTAGTAGAGGAGGAGGATGCGTAGTTATTTGTAAGAAGTTGCAGGGCCCTGTCAGACCTGGACGATTTAGCCAGCGTATACCCAGATCCCAGATTCTCCTAAAACGTTGGCATACGCTGAGATTTCTATGAATATTTTCAGTTTTGAGCATATACATAGAGTATTCATAACAAGTCCAGAACTTATTTCCAACAACAGCCTAACTTATGCATAACGCACGGCAGCACAATGCCCATGAAATGTCACAGTCAGTGTCCTGAGGGGGGCAGCGATGAGCCCGGAGGTGCCCGGCCTGCACTGAAGATTTATTTGATCGCAGTAATAGTAGAATAAGGAAAAAGAAAAAAAAAGCTATGCAGTCACAGCAGATTCAGCATCATGTCTGCTAGGAAGTTTGTTGGTCATTGGTGTGAACGCAGAGAGGATCCATCACCCTCACCTTCTAGCTCACCCTATGATGGCGATGAAGTCTGGAGCAGAACTGATGGTTTCCTCCTTTGAACCCCCTTTTATACCAAAACGCTGCCAATATGCCGTTATACAGTAGCTGTAAGTTAGAAACGCGTCAGCGTTCGTCTGTAACACGTCAGATAAATTGATATGATTTGGGGATAAGTTCTTAAAAAGTTACGCATAAGTTATGCACAAGTTACTCTCAGGTTTTGGATAAGCTAGACGCCACGACTTATGAGTAACTTAAACTCTACGTATGTCAGCGATCAGAAAACTTGCATACATCTGGACGCATTTGCCATATGTCTATGTGTTTCAGCGTCCTTCAGCGTGCTCATAACTTCTATAAAACGTACCCATAACTTATCCAACGTATGCCAGCATTTTTGCCAGATTTTTCGTACGTCAGGCATATGCTGGTCTAAATTGTCAAGGTGTGACAGGGGCTGTAGAAATTTAAATTGTCAGTTAGTGTAAGCTGATTGGATATTTGGCCACCAGGGCTTTTTTTTTGTTTTGTTTTTTGAAAGACAAAAGGAAAAACATTGACGTGCATTCACACCAAACCAGGTGTCCGTGGAGATTCTATGCTGGCATTGAGCATAACAGTGGGCATGTTTACCTTGTTTAATTGGTGGCATCTTTAGTAGTTCAGATCCTTCAATTTGGATCTGCCCCAGCAATCCCATAGCATTTCTTGTCAAAATCCTGCTGTTGGCGCTTCATAATAAAAGCACAGGTGAATTGAAACATTACACACTGCTGCAAAATTTTTCTTTATGCACAACTTTTGAATCTGCTTGGGAAGACTGAATTGTTGGAAAAGCCCCAGAAGCACCCAAGTAGTAGTCTGCCTTGGGTCATCCAGAGCTACATCTGGATGGCAGTCAGATTCAGAGGTATTTCCTCATGTCTGAGTGCTGGGGAGAGGCAGCTGCTGGCTGGGGTCTGTGCTGCAGGTAAGGGAGGACGATCACAGTCATTCTAGGGCAGTTCTGTCAATCAGCACATACTAAGGGCTCAGTAGTTAGCGCTCTCACCGCTTCACCTCTTTTTCGCGTGTGGTTTGCATAGTGATACTATGCAAATCCACCGCTCATGTTGCGGACACCGCGTTCAGTGTGAATGCACCTCTACATCTTTGTTTTGGTTCTGGTTGCCTGTTTTCCTTCACTCTTGGCTGTCCCTTCTCTTTTTTCAGACTTGGTGGCTCAGAGAGGAGAGAAGCTGGAGTTGCTGATTGACAAGACAGAAAATCTGGTTGATTCAGTGAGTGTTAGTGATTAACCTGTGGTCACCCTACACGACTCTAATGCTACGTTCACACCTAAAGCACCAACGGCAGCAGGAGCAGCTAGTTTACATGCAAAGTCAGTGGTTGACCTGCAGCAAAACGTCCCACAGCGCATTTTGAGCAGCAGAGCGTCGTGAGTGTTTGAGCATATGACATGCACCACGCGCTGTTGGAAAATTTTTTACTTTTGCTGCTTGTAGTGTGAACGTAGCATAAAACAGAATATCTAGTAGGACTCCGTTGGCCCATATTGGTGGCTTGTTCTTTCCTGCTAGTAGCCGATACGTGCATGTTTGCTGAATCATTGGTGCATTCAGCAGCCATGCCTTGAGATCACATGAGGCTTATGCATTGCTGCTCTATTTATCATTAATGTTGTTTTTGTTTGTATATACATGAGAACTGTCCTCTCTTGGTGAAATCCTGGGCTGTTTTCAGTTTTATCATACTGTCTTTTTTCCCATTAGTTTTAAATGATTAGAACAGTGCTTAGTGAAATTATTCTAACATCCTAAAATCATACTAAGGGTGTATTCACACCAGAGCATGTGAACGGAGCGCTGCGCAATTCCCGCTCCCCGCTCAGGAGGATGTTCGCTCATTCTCTCCACCACTCAAAGTTATGTTGTCGACCAACCATTTTTCTACAGTGGTTTTTACTGCAGTGCCACTGCTGGCAAGGAGGTAAATACCGTAGATGGGTCAGACGGTTTGTTTTGGTTTGACAAAGTACCTTCTGAAGCCGAACCGCAATAGATGACAATAGGACCAATGTTGCAATTTTGGATCCCAATCGATCAGAATTTACCCATGTAAATTGACTTTCCTATTTCATGTATTTATGCAAATGAGCAAGTTAATGTGTTAAAACTGTTTTTGCAGCATTACGCTCTAACATTCAGGGTATCGGCATATTTCCATTATAGTTTTGAATGTTTCAGCTTAACCAGCATCTCTGCTGAAATGCACTTTTCTCTTTTTTTTTTTTTTTTTTTATCAAATCAGCCTGATTTTCAATGCAAAGGCAGCTTTTTTTAGAGTAACCGTCCGCTATGTTGAAATCCCCTGGTCAGAACCCTGTGGCCAAAAGTCAGAAATGATGTTCTCAAAAAATATTTCAAATTTATCAAACTGTGTGTACGCACATAAACAAGTTTACTTGATAAACCACACAAGTTTGCGTCCAAGTCTCCACATCCAACCATAATGGTCCGCTCTAAAAGCCGCATTAATCTAAATATGTATCTAAACTATTACCAATGGCAACCACACGAGAGAGAGAGAAAGAGAGCTGAAGAAAAGCTCAGTTTAACCTAGGCTGAAATAGACGGGTTGTTGAGTAAGGTCCAAGGATATCCAGGGAGATAGTACTGAAATATCTCACCATAATTATGGTACATATACAGGATTATTTGGCTCCTAAAAGCTGCTTCAGGCAGAGAATTAATTAATTGTAGATTATATTAAAGAGCTGGCTGCCAGGAGCTGCAGAATGGTTAACAGCTGCTGTTATTTATTAAGATAAAAAAGACAAAAAATCTGGATAAACTGCCCATAAAGTTATCAATTTATTAATGAAAAAATGTTTTTTAACATCAGATAATTAAATTATCAGTTTTCTAATCTCACTAGATAAGTTGCAACCTTTCAGAGCGCAAGGACACTGCTCTAAGCACTTGGTTAACACTCCCCTAAAGTATTATTTATTGTCATTACACCGTCGCAAGCACAGAGCAACGAAATGAACTCTCTGCATTTAACCCATCCCCTTGGATGGCACAATGGCAGTACAATGGCAGCCCGCACAATGCTCCTGGGGAGCAGTGTGGGTTTAAGGGTCTTGCTCAGGGACCCAGAGTGTCAGTCTGTGGGAAGGGGGGCTTGAACTTAGAACCTCTGGTTTTCAAGCGCAATGCCCTAACCACTATGCCGCCACTTCCCTATACCATAGAATGCTGGTTATCCATAATTATTCTGTATTCCCTTCCCTTCCGTTCTGTATTATATTTAAGTAGTGAGCACTGATCAGCCTGTTCGATGCTGAACCCCATTGAGAACATGGACACTAGAGCAACGCTTCGGGGACTCTGATCAGCTGATCAAACGGTCATCATTACGGGTCAGGAAGACCTGGCGATGCCTGAAAACATATTACCTCCTAATTTTGCCATTTTTACTTCCCTCCAGCAGAGCAGCAATCATAACAGTGATGTCACAGCAGTATTAAAAACATTTTCAGCAATTAGTGGGACTGCTTGACAACTTGTGCAGTTCTCACCAGCTATGTCATAGTTTTCCTTTTTTCTCCAAGATATGTGTACCGTACACATGCCTCAGAGTTCGCATGTTTTACTCTGTTTCTCATAAATTACAACCTTTGCATTGAAAGCAACATATGCCTGTCTCTGGCCTTATTTTGTGCCTATCCAAGCTTGATAAATTACACCACAGAACTAGACTTTATTCACTAAATGAGGGACTTTAGTGGGGAAAACTGGACTGGGTTGTATTTTGGGGTATCAGCAGGATGAATACAAGTGTGAACTGCTTTCATATTTTTGTTAGTGAAAGAAAAAAAAAATCTTGAGTAAACAAAGCACCTTTTCTCTCATGTTCATCTTGTTTTCTTTTTCCTTTGCTGCTCCAACAGTCAGTCACATTTAAAACCACGAGTCGTAACCTCGCACGGGCCATGTGCATGAAGAACCTCAAGCTGACGGTGGTTGTTGTGCTGGTGTGTCTAGTGAGTATAGACAATCGTAACTATTGATTAAATGTTCTTCTTTAGAATCTACCCTTATTGGATTGATCTCTCCTAAGGCTCTTGTTTTGGAGAGGAATTTGTTTTGCGTAAGCGCTGTCACAGAGGTGCCCAGTCTTGTGACAGATCTAACTCTCTCCGCTCTCTTCAGGTGATCCTTTACATCATCGTGTCTGCTTCCTGTGGAGGCCTCAGCTGGCCGTCATGTGTCAAGAAATAAGACAGGAAGTGGGGATAAAAGAGGCAGAATGAGGAAGTGGGGGAAAGATGGACTACTGCAACTCTCTTTTCTAAACCCCCTCTCTTAAACATCGCTGGAAGACGCATGCTTCATCTGCCCCTCCCCCACTCTAAAAACCTGCACATTTATTTGCCTTCAGGACTAGGAGTCCCAACGTTATGCCCGCATTTATAAGCAGAGTGGCCTAAATCCGACGTGGAAGAATATATGTGGTCCTGTTGTCCGTCTGGTACATTCATCCCATTTCATGCACTTGTGGGCCTGACTTGTCAGGTTGTGATCCTGTCTGTGTAAATAGTCCATTCAGAGTGATGAACCACAAAGTTTAACTTGTTGATGTCCAGAGAAATGATAATACCTGCAGCATCGGTAGCTGCCATCATTTGCTTGAGATCGGTGAGATTTCCATGCTCAAGAGTTTGAGCGTCCACTAACTGAAATAGCTTGGCCTAATCTGATGCAGACTGTTTAATCACATCAACATTAACCTCTAAAATAGGTCATAAAATAGCAGATATGATCAGAAGATGCATATTGTACATCAAATTAATATCAGTGATTGTTAGTGGTTGGTTTGAAGGATAATTTTCCTCTTGGTTGTGAACCTGATCTAAAGCTTGTTTCTCTTCCTTCCTACGGGATGCTCAATGTGCCCACCATGTTTGTTGGTTTACACAGTGCACTTTTGATAATGTACATACATGTTTGTTCTCTGGCATCATATGGCTTTTGAACATGTAATTTAACTACTGTACATCCAGATTTAAATAAATGAAATAATCTGATGGCTTTAAAAGAAGGATCTCTGCACATAGAGCGAGAGAAAGATGAATGGCTTGTTAATTTAAAGGTCATTACAATAAGAGAACCGCCCTTCAGTATCAGGGGGAGGGATCATTTAGACGGTTAGAAAAGAGTAGAGTATTTACTCGGAATGAAATGTTATTTTTAAGTAAATGATGAGATCTCTAAAAGAAATGTTAAATGTATTGCTTTAAAAAATAACCTGAAATTCTTTCATAGTTTGAATTAACATGCAAACTCAATGACTTTAGAAAAGATCGACTGTATTCACTGGTTATTTTCCTACACTTCAATAAAGAAGTAATGAGACCTTTCTGTCATCTGTGTTTCCAATCAGCTAAAAACAATGTTTTCTCATTATAGCTGGATTATAAGGCTGAAACCGTAATGGAAAAGAAAAATTCAGAAAAAGTGTTTTATGCAAACATGGTTCAAATGTATAAAAGTTATACACTTAAAGCAACACAAAAAATAGCTTAGTTGCCATAGTACATTGGTAATGCACATTTAGACGAAGTCTATATAGATTGACAAGAAGGTGAATTATTTGTATTAATGATTTCTATTGCTGTATTGTAGATGTGTACCACAGAGAGACATACAGAATCAAGGGGTGCAAATATAATTTTTAAAACATTTGCTTTAATGCTGCTATATTTGCATCCCATATAGATTGGGTTAGAAATCAGGACTGAAGGAAGTCTCAGTTTGAAGCACTGATTTCTTGCAGCAAGAAGGTTTTTATGCATAAAGTTAGCATTTTCTCCCCATTTTCTCCGGCTTCCTCTCACAGACCAAAAACATGACTGTTAGATTGATAGATGTCTCTTAATTGCACATGCATGTACATGCACGGTTGTCTGTATGTTGGATTGTCTAACCAACAGACTCCTGTGACCCTGATGGGTAACTGGCAGAAGATGGATGTTTAAATAAATGAAATGATAATTAAAGAAAAAGCATCTTGATCGATAAAATTAACTTTCTTCTTCTGCTGCAAAGTGCATTTATTTCCCAAACACTCAGATGGAACAGCCTTCTAAACAATGTGAGGGAAATGTAAGCAGAAGTGACAGAAATAACCGCCATTTTGAAAGTATTACACAAAGCCCATTGAACAGTTTAGGAGAAATTCCCTCTAATGAAGATGAGGCAACTACACCACAACACATGCGTAGTTCTTCTGCATCCTCTTTTTTTGGTGAAACTACTGTGTTTTGTTTAAAAATCGTCGCAGAAGAGCGGAGAAGCTCATAATTAAGTAGTATGGAGTCCAGTGGAAAGTTTCTCTTTTATCCAGTCCAAAGTCAGAGGAAACATTTAGGGATTAATTGTAATTAATAATTTCTTGAAATTATCAATTCATTTGGTATTGAAATCTAATTGAATGTTTTCTCAGAGTATTCATACACAGACCCAAAAACATGCAATATGCTGAGAAAGTACTTATAACAGCAATTAATGAAACAAATGTTTTTCATTTACAATTAAATAATAAAAGTTTTATATACAAACAGTGTTTGCCATTTACAATTCTACGTGTCCAATAAAGTTTTTTTTTTATTCCTAAATTCCAAAGTTTTTTTTTTTTATCCAGGAATGTTGATTAACTAAAAGAATATATTTTTAAATGAATCTATTAATAAAATCAATAGATTAATCAGTAACTAAAATGATCTATAGCTGCAGCCTTGAAACATTGGAGATTTTAGGGTATTTCATGCTTTTAAGAAAGGATTATTTAATTTTCAGGCAGGAGTGCATACCTGTTCTTCTCTGTCAAAAGCACAAATACCTCCCTTACCTTCAGAGTGTTCTTAAAAATAAGAAGACGTATTAAAGCTAAATAGTTTGTCACTAAACTATTAAACCAAAGTCCATGCAAATAAATAAGCCTCAGAGGGCTTTACCTACATTCCGTTCAAGGCTACTGATATTTCTTTTGCTTGTGCGACATTTAAGAAGCTCCTTTTCCTTTTATTTTTTGCAAATCTATTAGAAAATTAAAAATGCACTTAAAATGAAATGCAATGTAAAAAGCATCTGAGGTATACTAGAGAACAATGAATAATCATGAAGACCAAAGAACCCATTTAGACAGGTCAAAGCAAGGGCGGTGGAGACGTTTAATGCACACCATTTAAAAAAATAATTGAGTTCTATAGAGTTCATCATTGTAAAAAGGAACGAATATGGCACAACTAGAAATTTACTAGACAATGACTGTCCAGCTATAAAGAAAGAACCAGGGAAGCATGTCAAGATGTTCACTATAACTCTGGAGGAGCTGCGGAAATCAACAGCTCAGGTAAAAGAGCCTTGTTGCAATCAGCAATGAGCATTAATCAATCACTTTATACCCAACTGTTGAAAGACAGACCAGGGAAAATAAGTATTGTATACAGCACAAGCAATGTTGAGGAAAAAGCTGATTTATTTAACTACAAATCCACTCATCTTCTATCCAGGTGACCTTTAATAACCTTCTCCTCTAGCTTAGGATGTGATTGGCAGTCAGTTTTTACTCAGGCAATGAGGAGAAAACATTTTTGCTTGGGGGAAAATTTGTTTACTTTCATCAGATGTCTGATTGAATAGATTTCTGAAAAATAAAGTTACACACGTTAAAAGTTCTACAAATAAACAAAAACAAGCACAGAATTCTTGTTTTAAGATGAAATTCAAATATATTTTACAAGGGAGTTTTTCCTGTTTGTTTTTTTTTGTTTTTTTTCCCCAGGCAGTGACTTGCATTATGAATTAATTCCTGTTTTGAACCAGGAACAGTCTGTTTTTTATATTTATTACGAGAAAATTGTATCAAACTGAATTGTTTACAGTTTATTGATTAGAATAGGGCTACAGAGGCGTAGCCAGAACATTATTATAAGGGTGGCCAGGCAATAACCATCGTACACTGAGGGGTGGCCGAAAGTAGATAGGCGCCAGAACCTCAGGGTCAATCTACACTGTTCCAACAGGAAAAGTAACGAGTACAACATGCATGTTTTCTAAATAAAGACAAACTATACTTTCCTACAGCCCTTGCTAACAGGTAGATGCATATATTTAAACATCGGTGCTTCCTAAATAAAAGGTATAGTGGATATAATTCTTTCAGTTTTGAGATCTGGGGTGTAAATCTTTTCCATCATTGTTACTTACCTACTTGATGATTCAATTTAATTCAGTCTATTTATATAGTGCCAATTCACAACACGTCTCAAGGCACTTTACAGTTCATACAGTCAAATTGATTCAAAGTTTTCTATCTTAGGAGAACCAGTTGATTGCATCGACTCATTGACTCGCATGCAATCCCTCACACTAAGGAAAAACTCCCCTTTAACAGAACGAAACCTCCAGCAGAACCAGGCTCAGTGTGAGCGGCCATCTGCCGAGGCCAACTGGGTTTCAAGGAGACAGAAGCAGAGATACAAAAAGCAGCTGTAAAACACGGCCCCTTCCAAGAAACACACAGCCAGGCAGACGAGCTCTCATGTCAGAGGAGGAAGAGAGCACATCCAGCCAGTCACAGTCAGAGAAACAGGACTACACTGGAAAACAGGCCGATCTCCAACATCTATAAACAGAGGTGTTGATGGCAGCAGCACAGCTCATATTTCTTTCCAGGGTGGTGTCACAGCCAAATAGGAACAGATGAAGGGAAGTTACTATGAGAAAAAGCAGAGAGAACATAATGTTAGAGATTGAACTTACAGATTCTACAGAGTGGGAGAATAGAGATAGAATGAAGCAGAATGATAAAATAGGGGTCCCTATGTCCTCCAGCAGTCTAAGCCTATAGCAGCATAACTATAGAGATAGGTCAGCATAACCTGAGCCACTCTAACTATAAGCTTTATCAAAAAGGAAAGTTTTAAGCCTACCCTTAAAAGTAGTTCTGAAAAGAGCATGAAATCTGTATTTATCATCTTTGATGTGTATAATTAACCCCAAAAAATGTAAATGTTTTGAATATTCCACTTGAGAGTATTACTGCTGCCACCATCTGTATTAGAGGAAATAAATTGTAGGGGTCTTGTCTTGTCATGTCTTGTTGCATTTAATGGCGGTTGGCAAAAAACTTTTCGGTGTGCATTACCGCCACCAACTGGTGAGGAGTGTGGATCAGAATGGCCCTATTCATAAAGATACTTATATTTATCTATATATCTATAATGTTACTTTACAATACTAAATCATCCTAATTACTCCTGTTATTATTAAATATTTAAATAAATATTGATAAAAAAATTTTTTTTACTTTTTCTGCAGAATATCTATTAAATTAAATTTAACTTTCTCCTTATTTAGGTCTCTAACCAAATTCTTTCTTCTTCATACAATACATCGCTACTGTTTCGTCTTGTCCACAAAATTCACATATGCCTGACATATTTTTCCCTATTTTGAATAGTGTATTATTTAATCCTTTATGCCCAAATCTAAGTCTTGAAATAACTGTTTCCTTTATTCTGCTTCCTTATCCTATCCTCATTTCTCTAACTTTCCGTTGAATACTATTAAACCATCTTCCTGTCCTTTCTTCTTCCCATTGTTTTTGCCACCTTTCCTTCATCCTTTGTTTAATGATACTTTTAATTTGGGTCTTACTTAAGTTAATCATCAAAATGGTAGGGGTGGCCACAGGGGTGGCCAATGATCAGGTTAGGGTGGCCTGTAGCTCCGCCCCTGCACTGTGTGAGAGGATTCAGGTAATATACAGATTTTTGGAGCTGATTATTAGCCTGCTTTGGACTCTAAACCCACCGCCTCTGTTTCTGTCAGGAGTCAAAGTTCGTCCAAACAACTCTTTCATCACTTCTGGCTGATAGCCGCAGTGTGGAAAGCAGCGGAATGTGGGTTTAAATAGCGGACCAGGTGGGACTAATTGGTTTCCAGGGTGACAGGCAGCCAGCCGTCGACATTAAATACATTTTCTAATCTTTATTATTTAACCTACATACAGAAACGTGCTAAATGCTGCGCAAGTGGTAAGATATTTTGTTTATTCAAAGGATTTTAAAGTTTCTTTAGGTTTAAAAGCAAAAATAAGCAGAAATTGTGTAAAAAAAACTAGCAAAAATAGCATGCAGTTAGCACCGTTGGTGTTTTCTCCGACCGATGGAATGAATTCTGTTTGCTAGTAGCTAGCATGTAGTATCCAATTAATATGTATTTAAAGTGTTAAGCATAATATGTTTCAGGTCTATAACCAGTATAAGGAGTTTAAACGGTGTTTAACCCAACAGCTGAGCCTGCAGGTGCAGATAACCAAAGTTTACAGACTTCCAGAGAGAGTTGGG